TCTCTCTCTGATGTATACGTGATCTCCATCCACGGTTTTGTCAAAGGATCGTGAGTACAGTATTCATGACGAATTCCAGTTCCTTTTCATGGCCGTAATCCGCTCATTCTGCTCATTTGAGAATTTTCAAACCTGGTTCTAGAATGCGTCATCAAATGCGTCCATTGTGTGTGTTTGCTGTTGTAGCTGGTGCTGACAGTTTGCGTAAGAAATTGGATCTGATGAGGCAGGAGGGCGGTGCGTCATGGTTGGAAATGCTGAATGAGCTCTATCCACAACAGGTACTGTATATTTGAAACACTAGTTGTTGATATGACTTACAGGTGCAGTACAGGTACAGGGTGGAATTGCAGCGACTGTATCCTGCACAAGCCTGGCTAGCTGCTACATAGTCATGTCTTTATTTGATGTAAGGAGACAGCCAGTGGCCCTTGACCAACGCATCTGCTCAAGTGCTCATCTGCGCTGTTTTCCTCCTCTCTGTTTCATCTCAGTTACATCATCGAGAGTTAGGTGTGTTGTGGTGATGTTCTGCCTAGTTATCACCTGCCAGGATGAAACCTGTTCATAATTTTTTTTAATTAAAATCACATGACACCTGGGAGTGGTAACGTACAGGGAAACAACACGAGCAACTGTACAGTACTGTTGGGCGCCGAAGAACTGGGGGGGGAGGGGGAGGAGGGGAGGGGGTGGGGGAGGGGGAGGGGTTGTAGCCTAGCCCGTTCTATTATTTAGCGAACACAGCAGTTTCGTTCTTATTCGATGGTACACTCTACGGCCCTGTTTAGACTAGATACAAAACAGCCTATAAGTTACATTAACAATTTAACATAGAAGTTTCCAAGACAACTACAAGAATCTGGCGGGAAGCCTAAAAAGCTGCCCAATCCTTGTGGGCAGGGTGGGAACCCTTGTACAAAGCAACTTTCCTGCATTTATCGTACTTTCACAAGGCAGTCGTACAAATGTACAAACTTTGTACGACTGCCGGCTGCTTTCACACATCCCAGGCCCCTTGCGCAATTGTGTAGGGTCAAAGGTTGCCTGTATGTTGCATGTAAAATTTGTAGTCTGATTGCAGGCGTGGAAAAATGTTGCCTTTTAGGTTTTACGTGATTTTATACTGGATGTTCTATGTACGTAGTCTGCAGAGGGCCTAACATGTACATTTATGCAGTGTTATACGTCTGAGTGTACATTATAGTGTATATTACGGTTTCTGTTCTTATCTGCAAAAAAATCCAGCCTACACCGTTCTTAAAAATTGGTGAAATTCTAGCCTGGCCGTTCTTCGGCGGTCCGTTCTTCAGCGCCCGTTCTTCAGCGCCCGTTCTTCAGCGCCCGACAGTACTGTTACACCAAATCAAGGCACAGATGCATAATCAGGGTATATTCTAGGACGAATTTCCAACCGGTTACGGTCCAATGAAGAGTCGGGAGGTCCGGGGGTCCTCCCCGGAATTTTTTTTCAAAATACAACCCAAATATGGCACTCGACAGCAATTTAACAGATTTCTTGGTGCTGGAGTGTAGAAAAAAGCGTTTGACCATTCACAGCTCCATTCACCCACAGAAAAGTACGGGCAGTTGGAACTGATTTGTAACTTTTCAACCGGTCGCCAACAATTTCAACCGGTCGAAAACCGGTTGGGGCGGTTCTAGAAAATTCCCTGATAATACGTTTTATGTGATATGAATGATTTCACACAGTGCCTGATGCATCCAGACAAGTTTGGAAATCAAACTCACTTCAGTGATTTCTAGCAGACGACGAGCACCTGAGTTTTCTGAAATTAGAATATTCTAAAATCAGTATTTTTCCCTATGCTCTTCTTTGTCTCTTTCCCTCGCAAGTCTCGCACTTCTCATCCAACTTCTTCTCCAGCAGCGTCTCTGTAAGTTTCACTTGGTGTGCATGTGTGGGTGTGGGTGTGGGTGCGTTGTGCCAGCTAGTTTGGTTGGTGGGTACACTTATGCCTGATTGTGTTGGGTCTGTTGCCAACAGGCTCGGCTGCTTGAAGGTGTAATGTCTGTGTGGTGTAGACCAGGTGTGTGGTCGATTCACTTTGCGTCGCCAGTTGTTTGGATTAGACAGTTATCTGGTGCTAGTCTTGATCTATTTCATTCAGATCTTGTCCTTTTAAGATGATGAGCTATATTGTTATATGCATGGTAGTGGTGGAATCTGTAGCCATTGGGCTCAGTTGCTTGAAGGGTATGTTGTCATGTGTGCTGCCTGACGTTATGGCTTTTAGATTTACTATTAGGTTTCGTCTGTAACTCGGTGTGCCTGTCTGTTTCTCTGTCTGTGTATCTATGTATCTGTGTGTGTGTGTGTGTGTGTGTGTGTGTGTGTGTGTGTGTGTGCGTGCGTGCGTGTGTGTGTGTGTGTGTGTGTGTCTGTCTGTCTGTGTGTGTGTGTCTGTCTTGAAGGGTGAAAACTCAGCGTCAACGCAAGGGCCAGAGGAAGGAAGAACAGCGGAGTAAGGCGAAGGCTGTTGCCAGCAGGAGAACAACTGTACCTTTGACACCAGCTATTTTGCAGGTACGGAGAAACCACCACACCACCATTTCTTCTGCTCTCAGTGTCTCCTCAAGTGGAGGCAGCTGGGGTATGGTGTATGCATCACATGCTCATGTCTATGTCTGTGTATAGTTGTTCAGCCTCATGACCCTGATATCATTATTGGTTTTGTTATGGCTGCAGTCAGACCTTGCTTGCCCGGTCCTCTTTTATCTGGATCCCTCCCCATCCGAAAGAAAATTGCTGGCTACCAATTAACAGCATATGGCACGCATACAACATAACCAGACCTCGCGATCCGCATACCGGTGCATGATTTTGTGTACAAAAAGCTTCGTCGTATCCGGTGCACGTGGCTTGCAGAAGCTAGAATCAGGGAGTTTTACAAAGAAATAAAGTCGGTTTAACTCCTTGACCTGCTGCATGCATATTGGTGCGTGTTTGCGTGCGTGTGCATGTGTGTGTGCGTGTGTGTGCCTGCGTGCACGCGCGTGTGTGTGTGTCTGAGTGTGTGTGTCTGAGTGTGTGTGTATGTGTGTGTGTATTTTCATGTATGTATCATGTTATATGATTGTATGACTGTATGTACGTGTGTGTATATTCGTGTGTGTGTGTGTGTATGGGTGTGTCGTGTGTGTGTGTGCATGGGTGTGTTGTTGCACGTGTTCTATTCTGCACATAGATTGTGTCAAGATCTCGCTCCCGTGTCTTCCAGCAACAACTAAGACAAGCTGCTGAGGATGCACGGAAAAGGTAAAAGCATGCCATTGTCATTGGAGCAAAACATTGAATTTTTGAGTTAATAAAAATGTAACATTGAGGTTAGTGGGGTGTAGATTCATTGCTTAGATGACTGCCTCGAGACAAATTGTCAGACACCTTCTATAATGGACTCCGTCTCCTCGTGTTGGTTGAAATGATCTTATAGCAATGGCCGCAGGTGGTGCTGCCGGGCAACTTCGGGAGCTTTGCATGTTACCCTCGGGTCAATTTCTACCAGAATGAGTATAAGTAGCTGTTACAGTGTCGTCATACCAGATCAGGCTTATGGGCCATGGCCAAACGCACTTTTGTCTCAGGTCGTCCTTTAGAAGCGTCCAATACTGATCTCAAACTATGCCTGTCACTTTCGGATTCATCAATATAGTGCTAATCGGTGTAGTTTGTTGTGACATGATGGGCTGGGTGCCGGTATTGGCCTGATGACTTTAAAACAGCGTCCCACCGTCCTGGTTTGTGCACAACATCTGCGTACCTGTAGCTACTGCTGCAGGTCTGAATTTGAGTCAGTGGTAGAGTAGAGCATTGATCATCCCAACCCATCAGGGTAGTCAGTGGTAAAGTAGAGCATTGATCATCCCAACCCTTCAGGGTAGACACTGTTCAAAAGGGGTTCCGAAAAGGGAAATGCTCACGTCGTGAGAGAGTCCCAGATACATAGGCAACTTTGGGCTCATACCTGCATGTGATACATAAAATCGTGTTTTGTTTAGTGCTCTCCCATCAAGACTGGGACTGATTAGCTTTGCTCGGATTTAGCTGAATATCATCTTCATTTTGTCTCTTAACATGCCTTGTTGTGGCCTTCTTGTCTTGCTGATTTTGTTGCTGATTTTGTTGGTGAATAGTGGCGGTGGAGGCAATGGCACTGGCAAGACCAGTAACTTTCTTGTCACCAATGACGGGAATGAGCAAATCATCTGCAGTGTAGATGTCCAGAAAATGATTATCCTGGAAATCAACCTAGCTACCGGTCAAGCAGCCAACCAGCAATCTCTCTGTAAGACTACTGTACCTAGTGTAAGACTGCTGCTACTGCTGCTGCTGCCGCAGTTGCTGCTGCCACCGTTGCTGCTGCTGCCGTTGCTGCTGCTGCTACTACTGCTGCTGCTGCTACTGCTACTGCTACTGCTGCCGTTACTGCTGCTGCCGTTGCTGCTGCTGCCGTTGCTGCTGCTGCCGTTGCTGCTGCTAGTGCTAGTGCTAGTGGTGCCACTTCTACCGTTGATGCGGCTGCTGCTGCTGCTATTGGGACTGAGTTCTATTGATTCTCCTGGTGTCTTGTATTACCCATCAACCACTTCTTTGTTGTCTTTTCCTCCCGCTCCCCCCCCCCCCCCTGTATATTCCCAGTGTCTATGTTATCTAGTTGCTCCTGACTGCATGTACGTGTTTGTGTGTTGTGTTTTCTTGTGGATTTCCAGCATCTCTGCAATCAGTGCAATACTCTGAAGATCCTTACGAGATCACTCTGACTTTCTCTGTTCAAGCGGAGCAGTTGAAAACAGAGAATGAGAGTACTGCAGTTGCTGGAGCTGGAGCTGGTGTTGATACCGGTGCCGATGCTGGTACTGATGTTCCCAGCACCAACGTCAGTAAGACTGCAACAACAGCAGTTCACTACAAGATGTCAAGTGTAGCACATCTTGCTAAACTTCTGGCAATGCTGCTTCCTTGGAGTCTGGCTAACGATCAAACGTGAGTTTGCCTGTGTCAATGCTTGTGCCGGCGTGGTATGGCCAGGGTAGTCTATGTGTTGGGAGGAGAGTGGTCGGCATGACTTTGTGGAGTTGTCGGTGTGATGTTTGTACTCTCCTGCATTTCTGTGGGTAGCTGGGCGGATGTGCTCCCAAAGGACGAAGCAGTGTTGTCCACAGACTGAGTGTGTTGTTGAAGCCCAAGTGCGTGCATCGTGTGCGTGCATGTGTGCATGAATGTGTGCATGACTGTGATTGCACTCTGTCTACTTATGAGGTATTTTTGTAAACGTTCCCACTTGCATACTTCCCATTGAAGCCACTTGACCCGGAGTCTTGCCCATATGCATATACTCACTCACTCTAGGCACATATGCTGTGTTGTCTTCGGGAGGGGGGTGACGAAGAAGCAGCGCCTGGTCTGGGGAGGCCCCCCACCCCTACCTGCATTCATGCCTGCTTTAATTCAGTGCATGCTCAACATCTCTCAGAATTAGGCTGATTCTTCTTGCTTTTGCTGCTGCTGCTGCTGCCGCCGCCGCTGCTGCTGTTGCTGCTGTTGTTGCTGTAGGTTGAGTGAGAACAAGTCAATGGCTGTATCCAGCAAAGTGTCACTGTTTCCAGTGCTACCGTTCTTGCAGGAGACTATCTATTTAACCGGTCGTGTGCAAGACGACAAGACCCCTTCTCCTAGCACTAGCTCTGGCCACGGCATCAGTGTGGGGAGCAGTGGTATTGGGAGCGACATATCACCTCCCGTTCACCAATTGCTACCCACGGCCGACCATCCTGCCTTGTCAAAGTTCTTCTACTCTTTAATCGCTGGCTTTCTTGGCAGTCAGTTTGAAGAGCTTGTGTACGTTGGCTGGTCGTCCTGTCAGCGTTATGGTAGTGATGTGCGCTACCCATGCTGTCTGATCATCTCCAACTCAGCCCTACATCTTCTACGCCTAGTGGATTTTGAAATGGATGGTGGGAGAAACGCTGATCAGCCTGGGGACAGCAATGTCACTTCCGTCGACGCCGATTCCAGTGCCACAAGCTTGAACGTCAATGTCAGCAGCAGCAGCAGCAGTGATAGTGGACATGCTATCCGCAGTGTTTCGTTGTCATGGCTAGCTAGCTGCTTGCTCTCCGACATCAATCAGGTCTCGATTGGCTTGTTTGGTTGTATGCTGCGCATTCAATCATCCTCTTCTGCGCTCGCATCATCTGCAGCAGCCGGTGCACAGTCCTCGGTATCTGCATCCACCAACTACTGTGTTGGACTGCCTGCTGGTCCTTTTACCTATGCTGTATTCACACTGGATGCTGCTTGTACGCGCGATATCGTCAAGCACCTCACAGGCACCAGTATGCCTGCAATAGGGAGCACAATAGCAGCAGCAGCAGCAGCAGGTTCGGCGGGAGCGGCAGTTGCAGCAACATCGGCGATGGCATCAGCACCAACACCGATAATAACATCGGCGGCGAGCACGAATGTAGCCACTGTCTCCAGCTCTGCTGTATCTGATGATGGACATGACAGCAGTCTACACTCTAGCAGAAACAGCAGTTCTATGTCAGCTACTGCTGCTCCCACTACTGTTGGTGATGGTACTGGTGCTGCTAACAGTGCTCGCGTCACTGGAGACAGCAATGGTGCTGGTGCTGGTGCTGGTGATGATGTGGTTCTTGACAAGCAAGCTGCAGCTATGGATGAGTTGATGATGGCGTTGCGTAATGCCTGTGATGGTCACGATATCGGTCAACTTCTTGTTTACAAACCAGTATTTTGGCATTCTGCTGAACCAGCAAAGCCAACAACAACATCCGCACCCATGTCAGCAGCAGCAGCAGCGGCGGCAACGCCAACAAAGGCAGCCGGCGGACTTCCTGTCAGCTTAGCGATCACCTCCAGCTTCATCTTCTTAGTTGATGAGGACTGTGTGCACTGGCCCAGTCTATCTGGTGCAAGCAACTTGCCTCCAAGCACACCGCGCTATACTGTCTGCTTGGCGTATCACCTGCGAAGCCTGGCACTAGTGGAGATCTGCAACAGTAGAAATCATATCGGCTTGATTGTACCTGGCAAACCACTGCCCCCAGCTGATGTGCACATGCAGTTTGATGGAGCGGCGTTTCTGTCCTCTTCGCGTGCCAGTACTGATGCTGATGTTTCAAATAGATCTGGACAGCAACATGCTGATGCAAGTGTTGCTGGCAGCTATAGCAACTATCGCCATGGCGAAGATGATCAAGCCGCCCCTGCAAGTAGTTTGTCTGTGCTTGCAAGATCGTTACAAGATGTGAGAGAGATTGCCGACGCTCTGCGTACTCTGTGGCAAGATCAATTCCAATCTCAACTAGCTATTGTTGAGTACTCAACGCCGTCTGCTTTGACCTGTAACCATAGCAACTCTAGCTATCCTACCACGCACTTCAGCGGCATTAGCAGTAGCGGTTGCACCACTGCTACTAGTGGTATGCACAATGAAGACGTAAATGTTGATACAAGTGATGATGGCACCAGCAATGTGACAAGGTCGGTAGCAGCAGCAGCAGCTTCGGTTCACAGTTCTAGAGCATGGCTCGGCGTGCCAGGTTTCGGCAATCGTCCCAGTGTTAGCGGCAGTGACGTCTATCAACTATTGTCCTACTTTGCCCAACAACTCTCCAACACCGATCATGAACAGCTACATTTCTTCTGTAGCTGTGACTGTCTGTGTTGGAGTGATACCAGTACTACACATCCTGCTGCAGCTGCTGCTGCTGCTGGTCATCACGATACTGCCACCGCTGCAAACTGTTCTGCCGGTAGCAACTGTGGTGTCGATGAGAGGAGCATGACGATGCCATCATCACCACTACTCCGACAAGCTGCCCATCAGTCGACTGGTGCATTCCTACTTCTGTCAACTAGTCACATCTACCTTGTCACACAGCAGCAGCAGCAGCAACAGCAACGGCATCATCAGTGTGCGGATTCTCAGCATGGAGTACATTCTCAGCGCACCACGGCTACCACTGCTGCGGGAAGTGAAGCCGGTCAACTGGAACAACCTGGTTCTGTCATTTTGAATGACAGTAGTGTTCACTGTACTGAAGTTGAAGTCGACAACACAATGTGCAGCAGCAGCAACCACAGCGGTGGCGTCCCCAACTTTCATGTCTTGTTGTCCTTGCCGTTATGTGACTTGCGCCATGTGACTGTCAGCATCTTTGATCAGTGTGTACGCTTTGAGGGTGAGCTTGGCGGCATGCAGACAGCACTGTGTTACTTGCTTGACGGCAGCGACGCCAATATACTGCTGGAGAACATCATCGAGCTGTTACAAGCTAATGGTGGTGCTCAAGTTGGTGATGCTCCATCCACCATGACCAACCGGAGCAGCAGTGGCGGTGGTGGCGGCGGCGGCGGTGACGGCGGCGGTAGCGGCATTGTTTATGGTGAAGATCATCATAGTGATGTTGGCAGCAGTAATTTCCCTGTGTCAGCACATGGCATGATTGATGGTACAGCAGAGGAGTTAGTCATTAACGGCACTGTTCACTGCCACTGGCCACAACCAGCTCACTTAGCTACGCTGAATCACACATTGCACACTGCTGCTACTACTGCTGCTGCTGCTGCTGCTGCTGCGATTTCGCAATCAGACAATCTTGCGCAGCGTGCTGGTACAGAAATGTCACCGCAGCCTCTGACATTGCCTGGTCAAGAGCAGCAGCAGCAGCAAATGGCAGAGCATGTCAATCCTGATGCTAGCACCAGTGACATGACAGTAAGTCCTGGACCTGCCCAAGATGCATTTTCTCTGCAAGAACAACAACAACAACAACAGCTGCAGGAGGATTTTGCTGAAAGCTGTAGCAGTAGTGGTGGTGGTGGCGGTGCCAATTTGCCCTTGACAAGCACATTGTCCCCTTCTAGCCTACTGCATTACCAGACTGTTTCTGTTGCAGTGCCGACAATGCCACCTGCCAGTGGCATCGACCGTCATGGTATCCGAACGTTCAGCCACAGGAGCAGCAGCAGGGAGTGTGCTGAGTCCATTCTATTGCCATGTTGTGTGGCTCTGAATGACTCTGCTCTTCACTTGGTGTTTGAGGATAATTTGCGTTGGCCAGCACCTGCTTTCGTCAAGGAGCAGAATGCGAAAGAGGCGGAAAAGCGGCAGCAGCAACAACTCAATGCCAGAAGCACCAGCCCAGGTGCCCGACAAGGTAGCAGTGACAATACCCATATTGGCACCAATACCAGCAGCAGCGTCAGTGAGTCTTGCCAATACACCGTACTGGCAACACGGCTCTTACATCAGCTGCGCTCTATCTCCATACCATCATACGGTAGTGGGCAGGTGTGTCTGAACTTTTCTCCACCAACACAAGGCGTCGGCAGCAGTGGTGACAATAGCAGCAGCGGCACAAGCAGCACCAGCAGCGATCAGAAGGCCATGGGTGTTGCTGAGCAAGCCACAATCGCAACTGCTTCGTGCAACCTTTCCGATAGCTGTGAATGGCTCATGACATTCAAGACGTATGAACAGGCTGAGAAACTTGTTCGCATTCTGCAACTGCTCTGGAGCATGTCGAGTGATTCGCCGCTAGCAGTGTCTAAAATTTCCCCAATTTGATGATCCGATTGTGATTGACGGCAGTTTCTTGAGCATATCAGCTGCAGTTGCTGCGGGACGGCAACTGCGTGTGAGCTGCAATACATGTGAGAGTTCATTCATACAAATAATTCATATCGCCAGTCTGTTTCTGGATTGCCACACAGTATGATAACACATATAAACTGCTGCACGACCCGTTGTTGCCACCGGGCCGTGCTAGTCTTTTATGAATATTTTTTTATTATACTTCGAAGTACTTCGAAGTACTGTATTGACAAAATACACATTTTTTACACGTTCTTTACCAGTACTGAGTACTGCTCTGTACATTGTTGGTGTTGAGCTAGAACTCTTTCGCTGTGGGCTGTGCCTGGCCCTGCAAATATACTTGTGTATTCTTTTGTCGCTGATTTCTGCTACTGATGCTTCTGTCGCCGCTGGTATGTGTGTGTGTGTGTGTGTGTGTGTGTGTGTGTGTGTGTGTGTGTGTGTGTGTGTGTGTGTGTGTGTGTGTGTGTGTGTGTGTGTGTGTGTGTATGAGAGTATTGGGAGGCTTGCCTGAGACCCAACCATTTGACCTGCTCAGCTACTTGTGTGCGGATTGATTCCACTTGCAAATGACCGATAGTTTTACGGTTCCATGCTTCACCTGATGGTGATTGCTTGTGTGTACACGCACGCACGTGAACGGGCATGTATTATTCAGCACACGAAGCACAGAAGCCATAATATGGCACCATATTATGGTTTCGACTAGGCCTTTTGTACCATTAGGCATTACTTTTCAAGTCGAATACAATGGTGATTAATATAATGGCTTCTGTGCTTCGTGTGCTGATTTGCTGTCCTCCAACCAAGAATCTAGTCAAGCATTGGGCACCCTGTAAGAAGGCCATAGGCCTGTTGGGTATACCCAAGTAAAATAATAAATACTACTACTACTACATGTATTATTAGCACAGTCCAATGTGTAGAGATTTGCCGTGGGATAGATGTTATGTGTTTGACAATGACTTGGGTGATTTGCAGATTTGGTACATATTGTACACGATCATGCATTGTTCAACCCCCTCCCCCCGTGCACGGTTTGCACTGGAGGTGATTTCCTGCACCATAAAGGACAGTACTGCTCACTGCTCTACAATGTAGCTGTATCGCTTCACAGCTAGTTTTACAGCAGGTAGCAGGAATAAATCAACGCTGTAAAGTGTTTTTAACCTGATTTACAACAGCGGAGTCGAGTACAAAAGATGAGGCTCCCTGTGCACACTTCCATCCACTAGCACTGGCATGTGCCACATGTGTACAGTAATCCATTCATGGGTTCAATATTGTATACTAGTGCTTGGGGTTGGATGTTTACACTGAAGAAGCTACTTCACATACCGGGTAGGATATCAGCTACAATTTGTAGTGGAAATTAGAGAGGGGGCAGACCAACTATACTTTTGCAATCTTATAAAGATGCATGCCTTTCACTGGTTCTGAGTGCATGATTGGAGACAGCAAGCAGGAGTGTCACGCACACAGTCACAGGACTCCCTTTACACATGTTGCAGTACTCATGAAGCCGTCTGGTTTACAGTCTGCGGCAGACTGCCATATTTCCCCACGTGTCGCACCGTCCACACACAGTTACACCATATCACTCACTACAATCTAGCTGCTTGAAACGTCCCTGAAATAGGTGATCACATTTGTTTGATATTTTCATAATAATAATCAAAGACAAGATAATTTTCAAAATATACTTGCAAGAAAGGACCATTTTAAACAAATCATGAATTCTCCAACGCATTTAGATCTACTGCTACCCTCTACCTATGCACAGCAAAGATAGAATAAAAGACTGATTTGATTGAGATTTGATAAAAATAGAAATAAAGCAACGAAAGGAACAAGAAGAAGAGAAAGCACATGCACCAGTCGGCAACTCATGTCTTTGTCACATTGAATGAACCTGTACTTATTGCTATTGTGACAACTATTGGTCAGTGCAGCAGCAGCAGCACGCGTGCTCAAGAAAAGAGATAAGAGGCAGTAATAGTAGAGTCCATATCCACGAACAATATCAATACCTACATCATACATAAGCTGTCCGAAGTCTTGCTCGGACCAGTTGCAGTCACCGTCATCATGATGGAAAACGGCAGCAGCAGCAGCAGCAGCAGCAGCAGCACAGACTCAACACCATTGAATCATTGGAAAATATATATAAACTGCATTGGGAAAGAAAGCAAGAAGACGCGCGCACGCAGCGGCACTAGAGACATACAGTACATGCCGTATGTAGTTGATCTACATGTAATACATGATTGTACTGTACTAGACTTTACATGTATTGTACTAGACTGTACTACTATACACTGCACTATACACGGTGCAAAGCAAGAATTCTAGAAGAACAAGTCAAAACAAGGCACACATTGTACAACTATGTACAAGAATCACACACAGACATGCATGCAGCTAGGGGCTATGTACACAAAAAAAGGCAAATCAGCGCAGCAAGCTAATCGACCACACACAATACTACAAGTACATGAAAGCACGCAATGAGAGTAGCTATACAATGAAAGACAACACTCCAAAAGAGACCTTATCAGCATCATCCCCTAAAATGAAAGTAACGATGGTTTAATGCTACTAGCAGGCTACAATAATACTGAACAGCAGCCGCAGCAACAACAGCTGCCAGTTCAAGTGTCCGTGATGAGCACACACTCTTTGTGAAGTTCATGTGCATTCTCATACATACAATCATGTGTGTGTGTGCACGCGCGCATGTGCACGTGTGTGCATGCGTTGCTGTTGTTGTTGATGATGATGCTGATGCTGTTGCTGTTGTTGTTTGTTGCGTGTACAAAAAGCATGTGGATGCAAGAAACAAATAGAACTACGCTATTCTGACAAATGAAAGAGCACGTCACACACACACACACACACACACACACACACACACACACACACACACACACACACACACATACACACACACACACACATCACACACTCACATGCACGCGCGCGCGCACACACACACACACACACACACACGCACTCTAGCTCTATACAACACTGCTCTTTACTTACGCACTTTGCGCAGAAGTACTGCTGCTGTAGTACTGCCTGGCCACGGTGGTACACACAACAGTTCAGCGGTGTACAGCGGTGTTCAGACAGCAGTGTTCAACGGTGCTCAGACAGCAGTGTTCAACGGTGCTCAGACAGCAGTGTTCAACGGCGTTGTTGCGGGAATACGTGGCCAGTGTCGTAATTGGGCACAGTGAACATGCTAGCAGGGTGGCTGCATGTCTTGAACTCTTGAAAGGCTAACTTCAGAGTTATCGTCGGGTAGAGTGGCACCTCCACTTTCATTGGAAAGCCAGGAGGAAGACGAGACACCAGGCGACGGAGCTTGTGAAAATGCTTGTATGGCGTGAACAGCTCCAGGATATCTAGAAGCAAGTCACGTGGAATAGGGAACTTATCGCTGAGAGCTACAGTCGGCTTGAACTGACGTCTGTCTTGACTTACAACAGGTGTGCGGCCAACATTGTCTGGTAAACCACCTGATGCGCTGTTCACATAGTCAGACCATGTCGCTGTTGTTACAGGAGCGGGTCTGGAGGCACGGAAAGGTACCTCAAGGGCTGATCCATCACTCGACTCAGCACCACTTTCACCTTCCGCTGCTGCTGCTGCTGCTGCTGCTGCATCGCCGTCTTCGTCATCAACATCATCACCATCACCACGTTTCATTTTCTCACGCAGTGACTTGAGACGTTTGACATCTTCCTCGGTGAGATGTTCACAGCGACGTCGCTGTATGAGCGTGACACCAGTGATATCGTAAACAGGACAAGAGTAGCCTGCGACACATTCCTCCTTGTCTACACGCCACAGCCACCCAGAGCGGCAGCGTATTAGCTCAATAGGTTGAGTGGATATGAATGAATGGACTACATCCTTGGATAGGCGAAGACTGGTACTTTCTGTGACATACTTGGAAGAAAGCTGAGGCTTCAGTACTTCCTTGACATGCCGGATGTTGTCTGCGACTATGACGTGAGAGATATCTGTGCAGTCAATAAAGAAGCTCAGGTCTCCACGGCGATTACGCAAGTCGGTGATGCTCTGCAGTGTGGCGTCCATACGCAGATGTGAGCCACACTTGTGCAACCGACACACATCTGATGGAAGGACGCGTGACAACAATGGAATCCAACTGGACAACTCCCACTGAAACACTAGAGTGAAGTCTGGCACCTTTTTCAAAGCCTCTTCCAGTTTAGGCTTTAGTTCTTTCAAGTCAGTAGTGGCCTGATTGTAACCAGCCTTCACAAAAAACTCTACCAGTTCACGATCTCCATATACAACTGCTTCGTCCATAACTGACCATCCATCATCAGATTTAGCATCGACTTTGGCACCACTATTGATCAGCAGCTCAGCACAGTCCAGTCTACCTAGCTTAGCAGCTAACAAGAGAGGTGTCAACGAGTGACAATCACGCTCCTCCACATCCACTCCTCTTGCATTCAGACAAGCTTTTAGAGATCTTATGTCGTTGTGGAATACTGCCTTGTGTAGCTTGAAAGGCTCTCCATTTGAAGCCATCGCATCAAATGACGGGAAGGGAGCTGAAGACTAAGAGAGAAAACTGGTCACAATCATATCCTAGTCTCAGTATGAAACATTTCGTCGACCATGACGAGTCAAGTTCCACACCTAGTATATGTACCTGAACGACAGCTGCACAACGAGAGATGTATGTCATACATACAACTAATTTATTACTTTGATGATTGATTTGCTGGAAACAAAAGATAGCTAGCTGTCAGTTTTTTTTGCTTCCCGGTAATAATTAATTTTTACAAATATTTTCATTTTGAAATTAATAATGTTTGACGAACAGTTTTCATTGAGATCGATCGGATTTGTTAGCAAGTACTTGAATACATGTCTTGAGGAGGAAGTGTCTACAGTTCAGTTCAGTATTCGACTGCGAAAATGGGGTCAGGACTTGGATCACTGTTCGCAATTGACATGGCCATTCAGTGGTCGCTCTGGGCTGTTGCCGCTGCATTGAAAACAGAGAAATTTTATGATTTGGCTGGATCAAGCACATTTGGGTTGTTAGTGGCCATGTCATACAGAAACAGCTCTGGTCATTTGAGGCAGAAAATCCAAACAGCCATGGTGGCTACATGGGCTGCACGACTAGGCCTGTTTCTCTTCGGTCGTGTCATGAAGCAAGGCTCTGATAGTCGATTCGACAAAGTAAAGAATCAGCCAGGCACGTTCTTGATGTACTGGACTGTTCAAGGTACAGTGGCAGCAGTACAACAATAACATGATGGCTTTTATTTCTGCTGCATTGTGCATTTTACACGTACACACGAAAAGGAGGAGGAGAAGTTACGTTTTTCATTACTCTGAGTTTCCGATGATCGTCGAAGGAAATTCTGTTCTTGTGCGTGTATCTACAAATTGTACAAATCGTATGTGTGCGTGTGAGCTAGCTGCACGCTGCTGGGTCTCATGTACCTGGGTATGATCATTCTACAGTGCACTCAAACCTTCCTTTCAGTCCTCTTGTATCCGGTTCCCTTGCCAACGGACGGGGCTTATGGTCTACAAGAAACACTTGTGATACAATGCGCCACTGTCACACATATTCGGTTGTTCAGTTATCCGCTACCCTCACCTGGTATTGACTCAATTTCATGATTTTACACAATTGCTGGCATGACTGTTTGCTATTTATGCGAGTGACAGCAAATCACAAATTTTGAACAGCGCAAACATATCCATAAATCCTCACAGCACTCTCCAAACGGTCTCTGGGCTACACCAATCACTGAAAAAGAAGAATAAAATAAAATCGTAACATGGAAAAATGTGGGCACAAGTTATGCGTTCCTTGGCTCACCATCTGAGTTCTTATAAAATCATCCAAATTTTCGGGCAAGGCCCGTCTTCAGGAATAGTCAATGCAGACGAAACAGAGATATAATGTGACAATTTTCGTCTGATGATCGGTTAATTTCGTGAAACTCCAGGTTACGAAACCGCAACTGCTCGTTCTGCTGTCTGTGTAATGTGACAATATGAACATTGTGGCCAAAAGGTGTGAGGTTTGGGAGGGATAGCATGAAAGTGCGTGGTTCAGTGTTGTGTGAAATTCCACCGAAATCAAAATATTCACACGGAATAGATGAAGAGATAGTACGCCAAATATAACTAGGAGCCAACATCTACAATATGACAGCACAACCACTGGCACGGCGACAGCACCACTTATTGCAACACCCATAGCAACACCCACAACAACAACCACAGCATGCTAGCATAAACACCTGGGAACAAGAAAGAACAAGACAAAGCACCCACAGCAGCAGCCACAACAACAACAATATATCTTATTGGCCACAGGCCATAGTGGGAATAAAGACTTGAAACAACAACGAACAACAGCAACAAGCAGCAATACTACAGAACACTGAACTTGCTACCTATGTCGAGTCTACATAGCACCCAACAATCGCCATCCATTGTCGCTGTTTACTGCTGGCTTTCGCTTCCTGATGAAAATGGCCTCCATAATGCGGCGGTCAACATGCATGTATGATCGTTGTCTTCTGGCAAGAAACACTAAGTTACTTTTAAAAGAATTCAAATTTCAATCGGGCACAAACGGCTCTCAATTTTAAATACTTTATTATTGTGAACATTACCCATTTTGCAGTACATTTCAGGTAGTGCATGTATGTTCTGTCTTGGAAGCGTTGTACTGAAACAATCCTGAATGCAGTCCTTTCCATGTATTGTATGTACTGTCTTGGAAGCATTGTACTGAAACAATCCTGAATGCAGTCCTTTCCTTCCTTTATAATCGAGCAGTACTGTGGATAATTATGTGCTGTCGCCAACTCTGGTTTTATTTCTTGCTATTCTAGAGATTTCTTTTTGTTCTCTGTGACTGTTCTTCGCAGGTTTATGGGTTATGGTGACATTGCTCCCCACATTAATGCTCAATTCCAGCCGTCAAAACCCTCCTCTTTGTTCTCTTGACTATCTGGGTTGGGCACTGTGGGCAAGTGGCTTTCTTCTGGAAGTAGTTGCTGATGAACAAAAGCGAAGGTAACTTGCATGTGTGTTTGTACAGCCTTAGAGAGAGAGACAGACAGACAGACAGACAGACAGACAGACAGACAGACAGACAGACAGACAGACAGACAGAGAGAGAGAGAGAGAGAGAGAGAGAGAGAGAGAGAGAGAGTGTGTGTGTGGGGGGGGGGGGGAGTGTTTGCACGTGTGCAAATGTGTGTGTGTGGGGGGGGGGGGGGGAGTGTTTGCACGTGTGCAAATGTGTGTGTGTGTGTGTGTGTGTGTGTGTATATCGACCCTTGTAGAGACTCAATGTTTATAAATGTAAAACATTGCCATTCGGTTGAGTACACTTTCCACTGTGTAAATGTTTGCTATTTGTGCTGTGCTACTGTGGAGCATTTTGGAGCACTCCGGTCTCCTTCATATTTCTTTGTACATAGTTCTGTGTTGCTGTTCCAAGGGCATGCTCGCACTGCGACAAAAAGGCGAATAGTGTCTAAGTGACATCATTGCGACTCAACATCCAAAAGCCCCCAACCCCCTTTCTTGATGCTGCGGTCAAATTGTCAAGGGTAGCCGTGCTGTATAGGTCACGTGCATGCCGTTGCCATGCTACTTGGCCGTTTGAGCGCAGGGAAGCATGTTTTGGTCGCAGTGTGAGGGTCCCTAAGCTGTGTTGTGAGGGTCTGATTACCGTATTTTCCGGAGTATAGGCCGCACTTTGAACACTCAAAGTTCATCCAAAAAGAGTGGGGTGCGGCTTAAGGCCGATTGACAATACAGTG